CATAGCTTTGTGCTTGTTGTGACCTCTCCAACTCTCTTTATTATAATAAAGAGAGTTAAACTCATTTAAGAGTCCAATGTGGGATTAACTCTTGACCCTTCAAATCTCACAACCAACGTTTTACGTGCCCTTTTATGGCTAACTTTAACAATTTATTTCTCACTCACCGAAAATCAGTTTTGAGAAAATAAATATACCACGAGTATCTACTCGGAACGTAGAATTTTTCTACAATATTTAATTCAACTAAAATTAAATATTTAGCCATCAAAAATTCAGTCAAAACCGGGTCAAACTCAAGTTTTACAACTGATTTTTCCAACAATTTCCTGGCGTAGGTACAACATAAACAGACAGTCGTTCTACACGAAAGAATGAGATGATCAGAGTACTATGGAAAATAGTGGGGTTTCACTTGTAGCCGAATCAATGCATTTCTCAAGTGCAAAAGATAAAAACACATTGTATGCCTCTAGCTCGTATTTTGGGATTAATGAAGAGGTATGGATTAAACTAAACATTGTTGAATGTTTTGTGAGGATAATGAGATAAAATAAAAATGTTGACCACGATTTTTGAATGGTCATATGAGGCTGTTCGGCATGAGCAAGTTGTGGCCAAGTAGTCTATTGAAGCCGACAACCACAGAATATTAAGAATTTGGCGCTTGCATGAATGATCGTTTTACTCTTCGTCGTTAGCTTCTTGGGACGGCTCTTGCTTTGGCAATACAAGTTTGTTAACATATATATATATAGAGAGAGAGAGAGAGTAAGATACATTTTTCGTCCTGTATGTTTACCCCTCTAAACATTTTAGTCCTCTTCAAATTGCATTTTTTATTTTCGACCCGTATGTTTGAAAAAAGGTTACAGAAATGTCTTTTTCGCAATAAAAAGGTCCTTTATATTTTGCAATAAGGTGTTCCAATTTCATCCTTTATGTATGAAAAAAGACATTTTTGTAACTTTTTTTTCAAACATACGGGACGAAAATCAAAAACGCAATTCGAAGAGGACTAAAATGTTTGGAGGGGTAAACATACAGGACGAAAAATACATTTTACTCATATATATATATATATATATATTGGTTCAAATAAAAATTAGTGTTGGTGTGAGAACCGTGAGAACCATATTTCATATTTTTTATAATTGTATATGATGTTATTTTTAACACACATTGTGCTATCATTTTCACAAATGTTAATATAAATTGTGTTGCTATTTTTAATAAAATAAATCTATGTAAAAAATAACACTAAAACACAATTAATCATAACATTACATACAATTAAAAATAGTGCTTCTCACGGTTCTCACGCTAGATGATGATTGTTTACAAGCTGACGTATCCAAGTGGCACGACGAATTGACAACATTGACACGCCTCAGGGTGCCTAGCTAGCGAAGTCAGTCTCGAAAATCAGCCTCATTTGGAGCCATTAATTTCGTCCGACAATGTATTGTTTTGTAAATGCAGCTTATAAGTAGTAGCATTTATCTTTCTTCTTTTTTTTGTTGAGTTTAGGAAACAAGTCAAGGTGATGTAGCAGATTTGTGATGAGAAGATGAAGTTTAAAGAGAAATTATCATTTTTTCTTCTTTGTCCTGAAGAAGACGATATATTTTTTTAAACTGATATTTAACTGCCTTACATAATACATATATGTTTGCTATATATTACAACGTATTCCTAACCAACATTATTTAAAAGTCCAAACATAATAAACCTAATACAATCTAAATAAATACAAACATAAATACCAATAATAAATATAATAACAATCAAACTAAAGACCGAAGCCGATCATGTTTGTCGAGAAATGCCAACGCACTCTCGTCGACATCATTCTTCCCCGGTTGGAGTGGATTTGCCCTCGAATCCGCAAGACTCTCATCAACAGAATGATCACCTCGAAAAGGCACTAAATGCTTGAGAATACGTCTGAGGTACGAACATGAGATGGTAAACGAAGACAGTAGGCGTTCGGGTTATCTTCTCCAATCTCCACAGGACCAATCTTCCGGGCTGACTATGTGTTGTACTCATGTGCTGGAAAACGGTCCTTAGTCAAAACGCCCAATCAAAATCACCCACGTCAAACTCCACATGACGACGACGAACGTCCGCCATCCTTTTGTAAGCGGCAGCAGTAGTCTCCAAATTGGCACGAACCTCATCATGCATACGCCTAAAATCCGAAATCAAGTCCTCCGCCCGTCAATCCTCAAGACCTGAAGAAGGCAAGGAAATCAAATCAGCCGGACCACGTCGAACAATGCCATATACCACATGGAACCGACAATATTGAGTAGCACGACTGACGGCAGAATTATGAGCGAACTCGGCCTGACTAAGCCGCATATCCCAAGAACGCAAATTATCACCAACCAAACAACGAAGTAAATTACCCAAAGAACGATTAACAACCCCAGTCTGTCCATCAGTTTATGTATGGTAGGCACTGCTAAAATCGAGCTTGGTGTTCACCTGCCGCCACAAACTACGCCAAAAGAAACTAAGAAAACGTGTATCCCGATCAGCCACAATGGAAGCAGGTAGACCATGGAAACGATAAATCTCCCGAAAAAATAATTGGGCCAAATAATTGTGTTCACCTGTCTCTAATACCAAAATGATGTAGCAGATTTGTGATGGGAAGATGCAGTTTAAAGAGAAGCTATCATTTTTTTCTTCTCTGTGCTGAAGAAGACGATATATTTTATAAACTGATATTCAAGTGCCTTCCATAAAACATATTTGTTTGCTATATATTACAACATATTCATAACTAACATTATTTAAAAGCCCAAACATAATAAACCAAATACAATATAAATAAATATAAACATAAATTTATTAATAAATATAATAACAATCAAACTAAAGACCGAAGCCGATCATGTTTGTCGAGAAATGCCAACGCACTGTCGTCGACATCACAAGGCCTTGGGCAAATTCTCCTCCTTCAGCTTCCAGTGGGGTTTCAACCAGTGGTTCTTCACCGCCGGGGACGACTGTGAATTCGTGAACTTAGTTGCATGCCAAGGACGACGAACGTCTGTGTGCAATTAAACTCTTACTGAAAGTTGGTTATATTCGTGAATCGTGAACTTAGTTGCATGCCAAGGACGACGAACGTCTGCGCATGCACACGGAAATATAGATCGTCCATCCCGACTTTTGGCTTTGAATCCTACAATAACCAGAGAGCATGAGATTTTGATTATTAGATTTTCCTCATTTGAATTTGAAATTGTGTATGAAAATAAGCAGGGGATTTTGTATAATTTCAAGCTCTAACTTGGACTTTTCAGCCACAAGTTACGGTGTCGGCTTGATCTAGTCAAAGTTGTAGGCCTGGCCGACTAGAATAAAGAAAGAAACTAAAAATCTAGATGAAGTGTCGACGGAAGGTGAAGGCCTGCCCGGGCCCTCATCTTTTCGAGTTCTCAACTTTTTCCATTGAAATTTTTAGTTTCCTTCTTTATTCTGTTGGTGTGCTGGTAACAGCGTATTGAAGTCTGCTTATATTTGTTTGCTTGGCATCTATTTCGTATTTGATTTTTTAGGTGTTGTTCGTCGTTGCAAAATAAAATTTGGCCAACTTCAGTCATGTTTAGTGTTTTTAGTGAATCTTAGTTCTGTCTTGTTCAGATGTGTTCACTTCATTTGGTGGTGCATTTTATTTGTGTAGTCTGAATTAGGTTCTACATCATATGATGAAAACATTATCAAAATCAGCAAAACCCAAGTGATATCGACATGATACAACACTAGCAGAAACAAAGATCCTATGTAGTGTGTAACCCTTTGCATGCACCAATGCATTGGTACACAATGACTACACAAACAGCTACACAATTCTTTATAAACAGTAAATTTCATACCAAAAGAATAGTCTGCAGTAATTGTGCACAAGCAATTAGAGTATTAAGTGTCAAAAGGATATTACATAACGTTAAGTGGACAAAATATAATCAACCGCCTCGACTTTTCATGGAGGGACGAAAAAAATTTCAGGGCACGTGACTTCTGGAAAACCATTAAATACTTCAAAACCAAGGAGCAGCGACAAAAAAACAAGCTTCACGAGGGATCTAATAACTCCAAACCAAAATATGATGGAAAGACAGTAAGGATCTTCCATTAGTTAGCTTCTGGCTTCTCATCTTTTGACATTTCACTATCAAAGATAGAAATATTTAAGATATCAATGACCATATTAGATAAAACAATACATGAGAAAAACATGTGGAACTCTTGGTAAAAAAATAAATAGAAAATCAAATAATCATAAAATAGCATGGGGCGAGTGTCTACTTACACGATTAGTTTGCTGAGAGAAGACACTGCATTATCTAAAGCATGAATAGCCATCTTCTTTACCTATATCATCAAGAAATGCAGCAGTAGGAATTATTCATCAGTTCAAGAAAAAATTTCAATTGACATGACTAATCAACAGCTGCACAAGGGAACCAGCATTGGGTTAACACCGAATTTAATCCAACTTTGGATCCATGATAGCAAGAAGTCTGCCGTAAGTTCAAAGTTGAACACGTGTAAGTATGACACGAGTTCAACTTAACAAGAAAATTTATTCATTTTCAACTACAAAATCATGTTTTATGACAGCTAAAAATGAGGAATAACAAGAGCCAATTTAGAAATGATGGCATTTCACAAAATTCATGACAGAAGACACAGTCGAGTAATACAGTATCATCTTATGTTCCTTCATTGTCTTACATTCAAATTTTCATTTTATTCAACTTGAAAAAATAGAGTAGCCCTGGCACATCTACCAATTCAGGTTAACAGAAGACTAAATACCATTCGTCAGTTTCATCAGTCAGCATTCCACAATCAGAATCTTTTATATGCCAGCATTCACCAACTGACCAGTAAGTTACCAAACACAAGTTTACCTCTAACTTATCCTCCTTAGCTTTGTGGCTCTGGGGAAGAGCACGAAATTCTTCAGTCAACCGAATGCACTCTCCAAGATTTTCAGGTGAAACAAAGTCGAGAGCAACTTTTATGCAAGACTGAAAATGGCAACAAACACACATCAATGGTAAAGAGGTACAGCTACAACTTAGGAATAATAAGAATGAACCAAAAATTGACTTTCACTGAAGGGCTGTCAGAAAGAAAAAGTGAGCAAAATCACACACATTCTTCAGTAACTTTATATCAAATAAACGAAATAAGGGAAAACTTATGACAGTATGACTATCAATTGCTGCTCTTTTACCCTTCTGTACTTAGCTGAGAAGTTTGGTATAGTTAACTAGAGAACAAGAAACAAATCTCCAGTCTACAAACCACCAGGGTAAGTTAGGAAGTTATAAGAACAAACTGTTCAACTGATTAAGTTCGCATTCATATCAAGTGTTCTAACCAATTCAGTTCTCCAAAGTCTCTCACCCGACAGACACAAAGCATGGAGGCATTTCCAATTCAAAAATGACATATTTTTCATGAGACATCTTATAACATGGTAACAACAGAGAACTTAGCAAAATATAAGGGAAGCTAAAGTGATCAGCAATTAGCCTTAAAACACTTGTCACAAGAAGAATTGACTCTAAACAACTCTACACCAGTCTGGAGCTAGATTAGATACATTAGTGTTTAAATAATGTTAGGCATTGTGGTAATTAACAATCAATGTGTTGCAAAGATAAATGAAAGTGCAAGGAGATTCAAATTGTGATGCTTGATGTACCTTAAGATTTCTAACTTGATGTGGACATCCAGCAGGAATAAACACAGCTTCTCCAAGTTTTTGCTCAAAAGTCCAAGGTTCAACTCCTGTATAAATTTTAAATTAACATTTTATTTAAAAAAAAAAATACACATAACATTAACGCAATAACACTAGTGAACAAAGCTCCACAACGAACCGAATTCCTCCTTGAGCTTCGCTTTATGATAAGAGGTCAAGTACAAGCTTTGATCATGAATTGGATGTAAAACCTATGAAAATAAAAATAAAATTAGCATAGAAAGGCTATTCAATCACAAATTGGATATACAACCATTAAAAAGAAATAGACATATTATAAGCAAGCAGAAAAAAATAAAAAAATAAATGACTATAGTGAATGCAATAGTAAGTTCTCCCAATAAACAGTTGTTCAGTTATGTTTCAGCATAAGGTTCCCCTACCTGCTCCACCGGACAACCGTAAATATGCCTAAATTCTTTATGATGCTTTCTAAGATATTCCTCAAGCTTGGGAGTATCTTCTCTTCTGAAAATGTCCCAAAGTGCACCTCCCTCCCCTTTATCTAGACCGGATTCAGCGTGTTTAAGGTTAGTCTCTGAAAGGCATAAAACACACCTTTTAATGCAGATAAGAAAAATGTTACGAGCTAAAATTATCTTTTACTGCCTTAGTGTTGATCTTTTTTGACTTATTTCCTCCTTGACTGTGATAAGCAGGGTTCTTTGCAGACAAAACTTTGGACTTTTTGTTCACTGTATTACGTCGTTTTCCAAATTTACCACTTCCATTTTTCTCTGTTATTTTATGGATTTCAACTTTATCAGCAACATTTCCAGATGACAATACAGAATCAATATTTAATTCCTCAACATCACCCTGAAGAACAGCCTTATCACTAATTTCACTAAGAAAATGATCAGGATCAGGAGCATCAGGTTCATTGTTATTCGCCGTGGCATCAGAAAATTTACTCTGCTCGGGGGTGTGAAACTGCTCGAGACCATCTTCCACAGCCACAGAAATTATTTTGGCAGGTGCTGTGGAGCATTGAGCTTCCAAGTTACTGCCGACATTTGCTTCCTCCATGGCTATTTCAGACCCTTTACCATCTGCATTGACATTACCGAAGAGTTCTTCTCGGTCATGCTCAGCATGCCTTTTTTTTAACTTTTCAATTCCTTTAAGATCATAGAACCTTGGATCCACATCAGCAGTGTGCATCAATACGTTCACCTGAGAAGTTTTACAAATCCCGCACACCTTTTTATTATTTGCAAATGGAAGTTCACAAGCTAACAACGCACAAAAGTGAAATATAACAGAAGCGACACATCTAGACAATCACAATTCCAAAGCAATTAGTATAAAGGTAAAATCTATAGAAAGTTTAAGCAATTGTGCCTGGACATCACATATGAAACAATAGCACACAGTTACCAGACAACGGATTACAAAAGCAAATCCAGTAAGTGTCACATAAACAAATCCATGTTTGTGTGTATCAACTCATAGCTTTATGGATACAGTCGTAACTCTGTGACTACCCCAAGAGGCAAATCTTAAAGAAAGCTATTTTGAAATTTGACTGTTATAAGTACCAGTCGAGTACAAAGCAGTTGCTTTAAAAGATACCGAGTCATTTCATTGGGTAGTGCATGGGCTATCAAAATACTCAGCACAGCGAAGGCAATTTATCATCATTTAGAACACACCCAACCTTTTGGGGGATAACATGAAATATTTTCATTTAAAAAAATAATAATAAAAAGCAGTTAAGTAAGCCAAAGAAAGTTTGAAAGTGGAAATGGAAATGAGAATAAATGTAACAACCAAAGTTGATATGATATTACAAATAATATTGCTGGGTTGCTTCAAAATGCTAGCTTACAACATAATTATGTTTGTTTAGATACTTCATAATTGAATTAAATTGTTTTTACTTCTCAAATCTAGCACCCAAAGGTTATGAGATAAAAAGTTGTGTTGTAGAGGTAAAGGAGCAAAGTAGAGAGTTGTCAAATGACTAAAATCAAACATACAGAAACCAGCTAATCCCCCCTAGTATGGTGAAATATGACACAGTTTATTACCTTCGCCATAAGTTTTTCATCTAGACAGTTCTTGTGTGGGTGTGAAGCTTTACAAACTAGTAACCCTCTGGACCAGGTTAATATAATGTCCATATACACAATTAGAGGCTCAAATTGAATTGGGGGTCAAATCTCATTTTTTTCTAAATTTCTAGTAAGAACAAGAAATGTGTGTCACTGTAATGACATGCTAGATATTTATTAGAAGAATTTCATTCATGTCCTTTTAAAGGGTAAAATAAAATACTTATTGCAAACTGTACTACAATTGTTTTTAGATTTTACAACCTTTAGTATATTTATGCAACTTAAACTTCATGAATATTCATAATTTACAATCTCTCAGTACATCTTGATCACAGACGTGTTTTTTTGCGGATATGATTGTATTATCAATATGTGCAAAAGGTCGCAAATTACGAATATTCGAACTTGCATTTTACAACAAAAAATACTATGAAAGTGCTTGGACGCAAGTTATCCAATTTGACCAAAAACCTTTTTTAACACAAAATCTAACTCAAATTTAATTCAACCCAACTCTCCTCAGTATTATCAACAAAATTAAATAATACCAATCAGTCATCCACACACATCAAATCAACCACAATTTATTATTCATTTACTCGCATAATTTTAATTATCCATCATTTTCAATCATCTCATCAAATCAATTTTAATCGTTTTATTTAAAATATTATTTTAATACACCTAAAAATACCACATAAACCTAACTAAACCAACTTTTTCAACATCAACCCAGGGTTTTCTAAAACCGAACCGTTAAAACTACCGGTTTAATGGTACAATTGTCGGTCAGTGGTTGAACCAGTTTAATTAATATATACTTTTCTCATTAATAACTGACTATCCAAATGTTTCAAAATTAACCTTACCAAATTAAATAATACAAACAAAATCATAATATTTTATAAACAAGCATCCCCTAAATTATTCACCAATTTGCAAATTGATGATGAGGTAGTATATAATTGCAAACCATAGCTTAGTTTGCAATTAATGAAAGGGTAAACGAAATTACACATATCGCCATCTCTAATTCAATTACTTATAACTCCACCAATGTTTGGTAAAGACATCAACTAAGATGAGGAAGAGTGGCAACACCATTGTGCTTGCAAAGGGAGATATAACACAATTTGCCTCTATGAAAATGTTCCTTTAACTTGAGGGTATATTTAATCCTTAGATACTTGAATCTACAGGAATGGGAAGATAAGGATAGAGGTAATCTAAGTTGTGATAGAACACATAACCACTCAATTTACAAAACAAGTTGCTAACATGCATATAACCTCCGTGGAAAATGTAGATATAGCATTAACTTCCTTGTTGATCGGTGAACTTAAATTCTAAAATTGATTTAAGAGTTACTATAGCCCGTGAAAAGAGGAACGTGTAAAGCACCATGTCGGATAAGAAACATCTATGAACGTTATTGATGATTTGTCGACAATTGGGAGCTTTGACTGACGACCTTGAGATATCATTAGATTCTTCAAGAAAAATAGCCTTCTAAATATGCATATTTCACAAAAAAAAAAAAA